CAGTCTTCTCTAAAGCCTGCGATACTAAACCGATACTAATCACTCACCGAGCTTGCAAGTACACTATGTCGCACAATTTGCACTGTGACAAAACATACCTGCGCCGCTGTTTGGTTTTGCTCCACGATTTCGGCTGGAATGCAAAGGAAGCCCATACCAAGCTGGTGGATACATACGGTGAGGACGTCATCTCTTACATGACATGCAAGAATTGGTTCGCCAAATTCAAGAAAGGAGACTTTTCTCTCGAAGATGCTCCGAGGTCGGGTCGGCCGATGGAGTTGGATTTGGAAGTACTACGTTTGGAGGAGGACCCGTACCTCACCACCAGTGAAATGGCGACCATGCTTAGCTATGATCATTCGACGGTTGCACGTGGACTAGAAAAGCTCGGCAAGGTAGCAAAGCTTGGTCGATGGGTCCCACATGAACTGTCCGCTTATGACCTTTCGAGGAGGGTGACCACCTGCATTTCTCTCCTCACTTTCCAAAAAAAGCTTCATTTTCTCAACTCGATGATCACTGAAGATGAGAAGTGGGTCCTCTACGATAACCCTGTGAGGAAGCGGCAGTGGGTCGACAAAGGAGAACAGCCAGAAGCCACCCCAAAGGCCGACCTTCACCCCAAAAAGGTTCTCCTGTCCTGTTGGTGGTCCAGAAGAGGCATGGAGTACTGGGAGCTGCTGGAGAAGGGACAGACGATTGACGCTTCCACATACGTGACCCAGCTGCGGAAATTGAAAGATCACGTCGACCGTACTCGTGGAAGGAATGCGGAAATCTACTTCCACCATGACAACGCCCGACCTCACACTGCAAAGGCGACCCAGGCCGAGCTGGAGAAGTACGGATGGCTGATGGTCGCCCACCCTCCCTACAGCCCTGACCTCGCTCCTTCTGACTACTGGCTGTTCAGCCACCTGCAGCGCTATCTGGACGGAAAAAAGTTCGAAACAAAGGATCAGGTCAGAAAGGCGCTCGACGACTTCTTCAAGTCCCAGCCTCCGTCGTTCTGGAAGGATGGAATCGACAAGCTGCCTGAGCGCTGGCGTCGAGTAGTGAATGGTGATGGTGCATACCTCTAATCTCCAGGCTGGTTCGTTTTTGAGATATTTACAAAAAAGTCGTGTATAAGAACTTATGCAACAACCTAATAAGTTACCCCAAAGCTAGTGATTAGACTGACAGTTTAGCAAGCTCACCTGTGAAAAACGCATATAATTGCGAGGCACTAGTCGTTGTTTCATCGAAGTTTCGCCATCGAGGTTGCATGTTTCCACGTAGCACGTACCATTTTCATTAGATGATCTGAAGAAGTGATTTACTTCATCGTGATTGGAAGTCCAAAACTAAACTGGAATGAAATTCATGCTATGCTACGTACTTTTCAGTCCATCCCTGAGGACACCTTGTGAAACGGACTAGTTCCTAATGCCCCGTTCTCGCTCATTGGGACGACTTTCTCCGAATGCGCTAGCTATATTTACCAACATCATAAAAGTCGCTATGATGTGCTCAATATGGCCTGCATCTAGGGCTAAAGAGTTCACCAGCTGAATAGGAGGAAATACGGGGAGAGTTCAAGACAGGCCACATCGTCAGCGTCTGAACCATCCTCAGTGCTAAGTGCTAATGCATCATGCATTGAACAGCCCTGCTTTTCTTGTTCGTAGGTCTCTTCAGCAATCGGGAACTACCTAACAAATCAAAAGTCAACTTCAGAAGATGGGAGGATGTTTTCGTTGTTGCTCATTCTTTTACGTTAAGAATGAGCAACAACGAAAACATCCTCCCATCTTCTGAAGTTGACTTTTTACGCTGTATTAATAGTTTGCGGCAGCGTACGCTAGCCTTTCAGCATTCCTCAACGGCAGTGACAAAGAAAGGAAGATATCGATCTGCGTTTGTCAGCGTCACCAGCGTTTTACTAGCTTACGCTGGTGTTCTACTGGCGTATGCTAGCGTTCACCCACTTTTCACTAGCGTATGCCAGCGGCGGGAGAAGGAGAATAGGCGTAGCAGAGTAGCGAACAGCTGGATTAAAGGCACATTCCGCGATAAAATAAGGCTATGACCTCTCAAATGTGTCGGACGATCCGGAAGGCGATTTTTGAGGCTGCGCTACTTTCAAAATGTGAAAAACGGCAAGAACTCCGCTAGAAGCTGACTAATTAGGCCCATGGACACCCCTTAGGCCCATGCCGACCCTCACCGGCTGCTAGCTACTAGCTAGTAGCCACTATGTTATCTTTCTCTATAACATTTCGGACTTTTTTTTTCTTGCTGCTTTTCCTGCTCTA